CAGGTGTGAGTCAGTACAGGTGTGTGTCAGCTGTGAGTCAGTACAGCTGTGAGTCAGTACAGGTGTGAGTCAGTACAGGTGTGAGTCAGCTGTGATGTGAACTGATCTGTGTTGATGTGTGTGTTACCTGAGCTGTGGACCAGGTGGAGCTCTCACACACGTCAGAAACACCGAAGCAGAAACAGTCGGTGCAGCCGAGGGGGTTGTTGTGGTTCAGGTTGTAGAAACCTGGTTTACAGAGGTCGCAGTGAGCTCCCATCACGTTCAGCTGAGGAACAGGTGAGACGTCAGAGAAAAGGTCAAAGGTGAGTTCAGGTGTAAAACAAGTGTTGTCATACAGTGTGTAAACTAACGTGTCACACTAGGTGTGAACGGAGCTGAGACGTCGAGCTGCAGGTAACCACGCCCCCTTGATGATGTCACGGTTACCTTGCAGATGCAGGGGCTGCAGGGGTCAGAGTTGATGCTTCCTGAAGGTTCACACTCACAACGGACACAACGAGGGAAATCTCTGTATCCAAACGCACAACGGTCACATTGTCGTCCTGCGAAACCCTCGTGACACACACACTGACCTGCAGACACACCTGCAGACACACACACACACACACACACACTGAGTCAGTCTCTGCTTTAGCTGCTTTAGATACAAACACACACGAACACAATGACAAACACACTAACCCGACTGTGAGTCGTCACGACTGCAGATTGAAGACTTTGATCCTCTGAGGTCACAGTTACACTCAACACATGGAAAATCTGAATATGGAGAAACCTACACACACACACACACACACACGATAAATACAAACAAGTCCATTTATGTGCTTTCATATTTGTGTGTGGTATTTTTTTGGGTACCTCAGCAGGTCGGTAGTATTTGTCTTGACACGTCTCACAGTTGATGCCGGCCGTGTTTTGTTGACAGTCGATACAAACTCCGCCTCCATGACGAACGCCACGAGAATTTATACTCAAGAAGAGGTCGGACACGGTTTGATTGAAGAAACAGTCGATGGCTTTGTTGTGACAGTTACACTCTGAGAGACAGACAGGTAAGAGGGAGACACAGACATGTAAGAG